AATTAAGTAATTAATACTATTTCAATTTGTAATTTAATATCTTAAATTCCTGAAATTTAATAGTTGGAGACTAGTAATTGACTAGTCAACCCCAAAGTCAAAGTTGTATATTGAGTTTTGTAAGGAGTTCCCTTGTTCCTTACACTTCCTAATGTTAGTAAGGGGCATTCTTGACCTTTCACTTGTTGTTGGTAATGTAACCTAACCCAGTAGACCACCTTCATTCTATCCTTACACTTTAAAAATCTAGCTCCACCCTCTCTCTAAAAGGTGAGTAGCTTTTCTTCCAAGCCAAGTGGGAACCTTGCCAAAACTTCAAAAGTTGCTTCCAAGATTCAACCTTTCTTATATTGGGCATCTAGGAGGGTAAGATCTAAGTTCATCTTGTGTTTTTGGTTTTATTTAAGGAGTCTTTTCTTAAAGATAGGATCTTTATGATCTTTTGGTTTGTTATTGAAGTGGGTTTGGAAGGTGAGCCTAGTGAGGAGCTTGTTGAGGTGTAAAGTGAAGTCTTTAGTCTACAAGAGGTAACCCATGCTCTACAAAACCTATTTTGTTTACCTATATGTGATTTCTTGGATTCTACATGTGTTTTGCTATGAAATATGAGGGTTTATGCATTCTCTTGTGAAAATGCATATCTAGAGCTTGTGTTTAGGGTTCATTTGTGCCATTGTTTGGCATTTCCTTTGATTCAAGTCATATTGTTGTATTGGGTGAGATTTGGCATGTTTTGGACTTGAATTTGAGTTTGGAGAAGAAAATCCGCGAAATGTTGTATTGTGGTACAAGGGTGTACCCGCGGGCGGAACGACGGGTAGAGGTCCAACCCGCCGCCCACCCGCGGGGTACACGGTGTGAAGGAGCCTGTACCCGCGGGCGGAACCGCGGGTACGTGTTGTGATGTTGATGGGGATTTGTTCCCCGTGATTCTTTTGACTCGGTATTTGGTCTTTTGACTTCCCGATGTTCTTTTGTGGAACTATTTGAGTGTCTTCTTAATGTTTCGTATGTCTAGAACTATATGGTAGGGATCCATGTAGGTTTTGGTGTCGTGAATCGTGCTAAGTGTTCAACACTGTGTTTCATTGAACCGAGATGATTCTTGTGTGTTCTTCGGAACTACGTTTGGTTTACCCGTTTGGTTTACCCGTTTGATAAATACTAGCGTGTATGTTGTTTGTACCTTCCTATTGGTTGATGATAACTTGTGTTATTCATCGTTGTTGTTGTTGGACTGTGATCTATTCCTTGATTGAGTATAGTTTCATGTCTTCGTTGTGATCCGTTGATTGAATCCCTTGATGTGATCCCGTGTGTATGATTATTCCTTGATTAAGTTATTGTTGAGCTTATCCTTTGTTGTACACACATTGTGTGGAATCTATATGTTGTTGTATAGGGGTCCTGGAGGTAATGGTTGGAAGAAGATACAAGGTTGGGGGTAGCCATAAGGTTGGAACCGGGCATAAGGAAGGCATATCAACTCGTGATGGGTGATGTCACGAGGGCTTGTGTAGCCGCTGTTGTGAGTTCTTCTCTTGTGACGTGTGTAGTCACAAAGGCATGTGTTGCCGTTGAGTGTGTCCTATTCCTTTGAGTTATGCATGTCGGGTTTGATCTATTGTGTGATGATAGATCCTACCTTGGGACTTCTTGTGAGTCGTGTTGTCCTTTGTGGTCTTGGGATGTGTTCCCGTGTTGTTGTTGAGATTGTTGAGTCTTGTGTTGACTATTGCTCTTGGTTTTGTACTTATATACTTATGTATTCCGTTTCGAAAATGGCTTTACAACTTATATCTATCTATGTATGATATTTCACATGTATTGGTGGGTTACCAGCATTATTCGCTGACTGGGCGTCTTCCCATGTTTTATTGTGTTCTTTCAGGTGATGTCTAAGCGAGTGCGCAGTCTAGTGCCTGTTAGCATAGCTTCTCCCGCTTGTTTTATGGCCTGTGTGCCGATCTAGTTGTAGACTTTTGAGACTATGGATTAGTTGTAAACAATGCAGATATTGTCGTAGCGTTCATCCTTGTTGGTGAACGTGGCATAACACCCCATGACTTGGATTTATGTTTATCCAGTTATCTTTTAGTCTTCCGCTGTGTTTGTTGTTTAGTTGTGTTATCTGCATGTTTAAGGCTTTTAAATAGCTTTTTTTTAGAGGGTGTTACAGTTGGTATCAGAGCCTAGGTTTGAGCCTAGGAAGTAGTTAAGTCTAGACATTATAAGTGACTAAGTGTGGTTTGAGACCTTTAAGCGACCTTAAGAATCTAAGTGTTAGGCTTAGGACTCTAGGTTGCGCGGTGGGCTGAGTGTTGCTTTCTGTTCTTTGCTTGTTTGCTACCTTTTGGTAACCGTGTTGTTGTTGTAGAAGTTTGCGATGCCGCTTCGTCCCCGAGCTCGCACCCCGGAAACCCCAACAAACGAGCAGCTCGCTCAGAATCTCCACCAGTTGACGCAGACAATGCAGACGCTCAGTGAAGCCTTGCTGAATAACAACCACGTTGTGCCGCCTCCTCAACCTGCTGGGCACCGCGATATAGGTCGCTTCGTGTCGGGGCATAGGCCGCCAACCTTCGCGGGTGAGGAAGACCCGGTAGTTTTAGAAGAATGGATGAGGGTGTTCGACAAGATCTTCACAGTTGTGGGTTGCCCCGAAGAGAGAAGGGTAGAACTGGCAACGTTCTACTTCTGCCAAGAAGCTGATCTATGGTGGGTCCATGAGGGTCCGACCCTCCTTGAAGAGCCTGAGTTTGGTTGGCCCGCGCTGAAGGATAGGATGCGTGAGAGGTTTTACCCAGCGCATGTGCGAGCCGCCATGTTTGATGAGTTCCTTCACCAGCAGCAAGGATCCCTGTCTGTGGTCGAGTACCACAAGAAGATTTTGGAGTTGGCGCGCTTTGCTCCGGTGCTTGTGCCTACGGAGCTTGCTAAGGTTGAGAGATTCGTTGCCGGTCTGAATTATGAGGCACGAAAGGCATTGACGGTGAGTAGGCCAAGTTCCCCTAAGGATGCGTATCTGAGCGCCGCGGATCTGTATCGCGTTCAACAGCTTCAGAAAGGATCTTACGAGCTAGTCAGGAAGAGAGTTGAGAGCGGAGGTTCTTCCACCTTCAAGAAGCCACGACCGGGTTTTCAGGCGAAGAATGTGTCATCTTCGTCTCAAGGACCAATCAGGATAGAGCATCGGGATCCACTACAACAAACTGGGCGTTTAGCGACACATATTTAGCGGCGGTTATACATAACCGCCTCTAAATGACTATTTTGAGGCGGTTAGAAAAACCGCCGTTAATTTTAATATAAAGGAGCTTAAATAATTACTTTGTAGTTGTTAGCGAGATTATAAATCTATATAATTAATTATTAGCGACAATTACTTGCGGCGGTTCATCAACCGCCACTAAATGTTAAAAACAAAGTGATTCTAATATATATATTTCAAGTGGCTATTCACCACACTTCACCGTTTCATTATCCCTTCTCACTTCAAGTGACTCTTCGCCCTTACCCTTTCAATTCACCCTAACCCTCTCACTTCACTTCGCCCTAACACTTCTCATCACTCATTCCGCCATTTTAGCTCAAGGAAGTCTCTGAAAATTGCCCTAACCTCACTTCACCACTCCATTACGTCGATTTTAGGCTGCTGCGGTGAGAAGGAGACGTGTAATAGCATCTGAGAGGATTTCCATAAGGTAATATGTACGCATTTTTTTTCAAATTGTGTTGTATGGATGAATTGAGTGTGTTTATAGATGCGAAACTATGGTTGTGTTAGCCTAATTTTAGCTTATTCACTTGTATTTTGGAATTTAAGCTTATTGACTTGTTTTTTAACAAAATCTGATGGGAGTGCTTCTATAAGAAATGACGTTTGAGGAGGTTGGTTCACTCAGTTTCATTTCTGATATTTTCCTGTACAAATGGTACCAAACACTGATGGGAGTGCTTCTATAAGAAACTAAAAACTGGTTATTGAGGGTAATGATGGATGGATGGGTCAGTTCAGTTTCACTGCTCAGCATGCAATTGTTAGATCTTTTGATCTCAAAATAACAAACAGAGATGTTTGCACCTCTGATAAGCAAAGTGGTCTTTGGCTTGAGTTCTGTGCATATGTGACATGTAATTTTTAGAAGTGAGGATTTAGAATAGCAATGGCCTCTTACTTCTTTCTTCCATGTTTTGTTTTGTTTTGTTTTTTTTTTTGTTTTTTTGTTTTTTTTTTTTTTGTTTTTTTTTTTTGATTTGGCAAGTTTGAAATCTTCATTTATAGCTAGTGGTTATAACTCACTGTTTTTCTGCTGTGTGAAATACCACTATCTCTCTATCAAGTAGAAAACTGAAACTAATATCTTAATCTCATATTGCTGGGTAACTTTGTTTATCTGGATTTCCTAAGATTAGTTAATAAACAAGGGCAGTGTTTATTTCGATTTCCTAAGAAAGATTAGTTAATAAACAAGGGTAGTTTCACATCCAAAGCATATAATCATCTCTTCTATTAGTTGAGCACTCAAAACTTTTTACTTAATATAGTCTCTCATTGTTTTAGTCGAAGAAAAAGATGCAGGGAACTTCCAAACATGCCGTTTCTATGTATGTTTGTATGCGTGTGTATAGTCCTTGCACACATACCCGCCTTTCATTTTATTTGGCAAATTAGCCGCATTAATATGTTAAAGTATTTGAAACAGGAACAGAATTTGGTCCATCTGCCATTGAGCTCAAGAGATTTTCACTTTCATGCAACTATTTGTTACTCTTGTTTTCATATTAAATGCTTGTCATGTACTCATGTGAATTTCTGAACATTAGGCTAGATTTTGAACATCATAGACTCATAGTTAATATTAACCATGTTAAGCTGGCTATTGTCCATACTTTAACATAATTGGTCACTTATAGATTTCTTTGTTCAATACTAACTGAACCTTACATTGCAGCGAGATCACCTGGCCTCTGAAGGACGGCGAATAACGAAGCTTGATAAAGTAGTAACTTCGTCTTCACTACTGGATTGATTATTGTTCCACTTTTTATCACTAATCCTAAACCAAACATAGGAATTTCTAGGAGTATCAGTTCTGTTTTTTATAATCCCTGTCTAATTCTTGAGTATGCAGTTCTGTTTTTTATAATCCCTATCTTATGAGTCCAGATTGTACATGTTCTGCAATATTCAATCCAGCTAATTCTTGATGTTACGGTGTTTGCTGGGTGTGAACTGTCAGTTTAGGACAACCTAGTATTTTTAGATGAGATTAGAACTTTTTAACCTTTCTATCAACATTGGTTAAATATTTCATTCTTCTTGCATTTCTGCTAATAAAGATTCAGTAAATTGTTTTACATACTGTACAATTTTGAGGGTTCATTTATGCTTCTGAGCTAGCAGACCTTAAGTTGTGTTCTTGAACTGAAAATGTAAGCAGTATTTGTGTTTCCTCAAGGAGGTGACAGGCTGACATCCAATTATAATCCTTAATTTTTCATTTAATGTGTAGGTATGCCAAGATCAAAAAGGTTCATGGATATGAGTCGGTCAATGTCTCATCAACAACCTTCTTCATCAACACACGAGCAATTGTTGAATGACGCACAACTTGAAGAACAAACTCAGGATAATGAAACACCTCAAGAGCAAACTCAAGATACTGAAACACGACAAGAGCAAAATGAAGATGCACCATCTTTGTTTAAAAGGAAAACAAGGACTTCGTGGGAAGTTGATGTGATTAGTAAGTTTACATTATTATATTTATTGATTGATATGTACTAAAAGTCTGAATAAATCAATACATTAATTTAGTTCCAATGAAGAAGGATTTGTGAAGAAAAAAAAACTGAAAGTTAAAGAAGTTTGGACACTTCCCTTGGGTGAAAAAGTCATAGTCCCATTTGACAAGTTTGATACACCATTCACTGAAGCAGCAGGATTATATACTGGAACACTTTCAGGGTTGGCACAGGAAAGTAGCTCATTTCCAATCAATTTTACTGATTGGAGATTGATGCCAAAGCAATATAAAGAAGATACCTTTGCCAAAATAATCAAGGTAACAAAATAATTTCAATTATTTGCTACATTCAAAAAAATAAACGTGTATTCTTCTCTATGATTGATGATTGTGAAATATAATTTATCTATTAAGGGCGGCTGCCTATTCAGATTTACGTTCCTTTATAATCATCCCTGATATGATATGTGCATTTGTATTATCTGCCTCTTCATTTCATTTTCTTTTATTTTCCATCAATTAATGTGTATTCTTCTCTTCTCTGCGGCTCTGCCTATTCAGGTTTACTTTTTTTTTCTTAATTTGTATTCTCAATTTTTTAAATTCAACTATAATTGATACCTTAACTATAATTTTATTCTAATTTTTTATGATAAAAAAATTTGTTTAGAGGCATCAATTAATCAAATATGGAATAAAAATGTAAAACTTATACATTTCATGTCTTTCAACTATAGAATTATAGATGGATTCAATGCTTTCATGTCGTATTGCAGTTGTCAAATCTGCAGGTTAGCCTTGCAAATGTATATTAGATAGTGGCATAGAGAAGATACAAATGGCAAAACTTTTAAGGAGGAAATTAATTCGAAAGGTATTGGTGAGGATACTTAGGTGGTCTGATCTGATGACAATCATACCATGTGCCTTAAATTATCAACATTAAATTCACAAGAGGTGTAACTTACATAGAATAAAATATTTTTAGAAAAAAAAAAAGTCTTTCTTTTTCCAGGATTTTGGAGGACCTAGCAGAACAGTACATTTCCCATTTTTGGTAATAAATAATCATCAAAATTCTATAGTATATTATTTTCCATAAGATTAGGTGAAGTTTTGATTTTTATTCCTCTACAAAGTATTGTGTGTATAAATGATAAGTCTACTTACCAAATTTTGTACCATAAAGTGATTCTATTTGCACTAAATTTTATAACTTTTGATAAATGCTAATAATTACATTTGCCATGATTTGAAGCCAAAATTTCACTTCCAAAATGATGTGATTGCAAAACATTGGACACTTCAAAATATTGGGAGGAAATGGAAGGACTTCAAATCTAGGTTGTGGATAGAGTTCTATGATTCTTCCTTAAACCGAGATGAACTGATTAGTAAGTGTCCAATTGGAATTCATAGAGACCAGTGGTCAAGTTTGTCAACTATCGTTTGTCTGACAAATCTAAGGTAATGTTTCTAATATCTGTTTGCTTATTATTATTGTCATATTTGCCTAATGTATTAGTATTATACTCTATTATTAGGGGATGTGCCAAACAAATGCTGAAAGTAGGAAACACCAAAAAATTGCACATACTTCTGGATCAAAGAGCTTTGCTAGGAGAAGGGCTGAGATGGTATTTCAATTTGTTTTTTTTTTTTTTTTTTTTTTTTTGCAATTAACTAAGTTGAATGTTTTTTTTTTTCTTAACTACTAACAATTTAATTTTCATGCAAGGAAATTGAGCTCGGGCACACTGTTAATCGCTCAGAACTATGGATGGATACCCACAAAGTAAAAAGAGGGTCATCTGTTAATGAAGAATGTAGAATTATCACTGTAAGTATGTTTTAATTTATTTTTAAGGGTTAGATGTTACACTGCAAATTTATATTTGTTTAATGCAGGAAAAGATCAGAAATGAAATGGATCAATGCTCACCTTCTCAATCACAATTTGTTTCACAAGATGATCCTGTTGGCAAAACCTTTGGAAAAGAACACAATGGACGTGTTCGTGGGTTAGGTTTTGGACCATTCCCATCTAAGGTATTTAACAATACATCAAGGATGAATGAGGATAATCAAATGAAGGAGTATGTGTCCACTTTGGAGAAAGAGTTAGCTGCAACTAAAGCTCAATTGCAAGTTCAAAGTGATATGCAAAAGGCCATGGGAGGGGCTCTTGTTGCTATTTTGGAAAGAACTTTTGGCAAAGTTCCTGAAGAATTTGCTACCTTCCTTAACCAAACATCTAAACCAATAAGTGCATACTTTTTTTTTCAAATACTGATTTATACATTAAGAAAAACGGATTGTATGCATTTCTATATTGTTGGGCAAACACCATTGATTTCATTTAACTATTTAGAGTCGAGTATTGAAATTTATACTATGAAATGTAGGTACCCGATGAAAGAAGCAAGCTACAATCTTCACAAGGGAGTGGAAAGCAAAATTCATCCTCTAGTCATCATGTTAATGGACAATCTTCTACATGATATGCAACTGTAAGTAGTTTCATACAATCTTCTATATGAACTTTCTGCTTTGGAAGATTAAAGAATCTAAATTTGTAGCACCAAGTTAATGTTGAAGCTAGGAAATCCTTTACATTCTTAATCTGTCCTGGGGTTCATTGTTAAGGTTCTGCAGTTTCTGGGCAATGTAGGACTGCAGATTGGTCATTGGTTGTTGTTAAGGCAACTCTCTTCATTGTGACTTACCTTGTCTGCAACTGCTTATACACTCTCTATAGTCATCACTTACAAAAATGGAAAAAGACCGCGATGTCCTGTTGACTGTGAAGGCTGGAATTATATAACTAATAAAACGGCAAACAATTGCACATTTTCTATTTACATGGACTTCTTAGTAAAAATTCTCAGTAGAAGAACTATGAGTAAAAATACAAGTGTTGAGTCTGCAGAGACTTTGAGGTTTCAGGTTTCAGGGGTATGGAAGTTGGATGCTGAACAGGTTGCATGGCAATGTATGCATGGTGGTTCCAAATGGCAAGGTATGCATCAAATAACATACTTCGATTAGTCTAGTGCAGTCGTGCATGGTGGTTATAAACTGATTATGTATGTGTGTTTCTTCATGATACAGGGTTTTATAGTTGGTTCTATATCTGGTATTTGCAGATTTTATGAACACGATATGCTATTTTCATTCAAGGTTGTCTTGTTTTCTCTGAATGTCGTAATTGTTAGCAATCTAATTTGGATTTTGAATCCTACGATGAATAGTTTATTTGTTTGTCTTCTGTTATCAGTTGCAGGATTATGCAAACAAATAGAGGGGCTGACTAATGACGTTGAAATATCAAATGAAATGGTTGCAGGTCTTTATGTTGCAAGAAAAGCTGGAAGAGAAGGATATGAAAGAGCTGGAGTAATGAGGTGTCAAGGAAGAGACACATGAGGAATCCATCACTGCAGAAGAGATGAATGAGCTCTCTTTTGATGATAAAATTGCCACCAATGAGCTTGGATGTTGAATTGATTTTCTTTTAATAAGTAAACTTCTTTGAATATTGTTAAACATTAGTATTTGGCAATACAAGTTACATTTGATTTTCATCTAAATTAAATGTGTATTTATTTGTATTTGCAATGCACATATGAAAGTAGATGTTTACAGCAAAAAAAGTAATTTAATGACAATTATAAATTTTAGTAGCAATCCCTATTAGATGAGAAAATACAAAAAAAAAATATTAAATAAACATTAGCGGCGGTTTTGCTAACATTTACGAAAAAAAATTAAATAAACATTAGCGGCGGTTTATAAACCGCCGCTAAAATTTAAAGTAAATTTTAAAGAAAATTTAGCGGCGGTTTGAAAACCGCCGCTAAATGCATTTAAAACCGTAAATATTAAATAAATATTAGCGGCGGTTTACAACCGCCGCTAAATGTATTCAAAACCGCTAAATAAATTTTTCATGAATTCCCGCGGTTGTAGAAAACCGCCGCTAAATGCTTCGCGACACACTATTTAGACACGGTTGAATAACCGCCGCTAAACACACTAGTGGCGGTTTTGAACCACCGCTAAATGCAAATAAAACCGCCGCTAAATGCCTGATTTGGTGTAGTGATCAAGCCAAGACGGTTGTTTGCCGTAGATGCGGGAAGGTGCACGAGGGCCAAGATTGCAATGGCCAAGCGCACCGGTGCTACCGATGTGGAGAACGTGGTCACAAAGTCGCTGAGTGTCCCTAGCAAGCCGGTCAGAGAGCGTTACCGCCACCCCCCGGAGTCGGAGGAGCATCGGGAGGTAGTTCGGGTCGTGGAGCAGTTGGAGCTAGGCCACCTGGGAGGGTCTTCGTGATGGCGCGTTCGCAGGCAGAATCTGAGGGTTTGATGGAGGAGGAGTTGGCAGGTAATCCTTTTCTCTAGTCTATCTTTGTTCTTCGCGAGTATCGTGTTCTTTGTTGTCCTGAGTGTTATCTTGTGTTCCGCCGGTGTCTTTTTGAGTTACTTGGCAATCCTTGGTATGCTTTTCTTTGGTAATGATTCTTTTAGAGTTAGATGTAAGCTCTTCTTGTTAAGTGACTCTCTTAGTTTTGCAAATAAGTTTCGTTGTGAAGTTAGCTATCCATCTTTAGAACGAATCATGTTTGGGTTAATTCTACAATCCTTACACTTAGTTGTTCTTGCAACCTTTCCTTTGTGAACCCTATAAATTTCCCAAGTATTCTTTGAAATTGGAAATAGCAAATCCACACCAAAAATCCTTTTTTGTGTAGCTTAAAAGTCAAGCAAAATGCTTTAATTGTAACTTTAGAGTTTCAAACCTAGGCCTATTCTTTGCCAACCCAACCTCTAAACCACTTAAGCTAATTGTTTTCCTTGGAACCTACCCAATTCTAATTCCATCTAACCCATAAATTCCCACTTTGCCCAAATCTCCAAATTAAATCATCTTTTTTCCCCAATTTTTCCCACAATCCCTAAAATTTTTCCCAAATTTCTTTCCTCTTCTTCTACCCTACCCGTGAACCACCGAACACCACCCCCTACCCGTCGCCACCAGCAGCCCCACCCGCCGGCGCAGCTGTCCGACACACCGCCTCGCCGTCCATCACCTTCGTCCGCCGCACTGCCGCCGCCGTTCTGCTTCGCTGCTACGACGCCAAGAGAGAAGCCGAGCGAGAAGAGAGAAAGAAGAAGAAAAAGAGGAGAGGAATTCTTGGGTTCTTTTGTTGAGCTTTGGGTCATCATCAATCATGCCTAGAAGGTCAAGTTTGGCAAGAAAAGCGGAATGAGTGGATACCCACTACCTTGTTCTTGAAGGTAAAGCCTTTGATCCGGAATCTTTTCCTAATTCTTTGTTGGATATGCTTAGATTCCAGGGTTTGTTGGATGGGTTTCTCGCCATAAGGGCCGAGACTTACCCGAGTTTGGTTAAGGAATTTTATCATCACATGGTTGTGACAAAGGAGGGTGATAAGCTTGAGATCACTTCTAAAGTGAGAGGTGTGAAGGTTGTGCTTTCTGAAAAGAGGCTGGCTCAGCTTTTGAGTTTAACTGCTTCAGGAGTTGCTCAGTATAGTGGTCATTCTTGGATTTGTACGGATACCATGGGGTACCGGGACTATTTGAGTTATCTGTTGGGCCGTACGAGTGGTTTCACTCAAGCTTCAAGGCCGGAGAAAAAGTCGTTGTCCACGGAGCAACGGATTTTGGTTATGTTGGTATCGGATTGCTTGTTGCCTAATAACAATAAAAGCAAGTTGTAGGGAAAGTTAGAGTGCACCTTTGCCTTTTTGCCTCAAGAATCTGGTCAAGTTCAATCTGCCATCGTTGATGTTACAGCACATGGTTTTTTGTCGGGATCATAACCGGAAAAGCCTACCGTATGGGATGGTGTTGAGCTGGATTTTGGTTAGAAAGGGTGTAAGCGTGGATGGTTGTCTTCCAAAGGCCGTGGGAAAGTTGCTGTTGGATACCACCAATCTTTGGAGTTGTAATTTGTTTCGGTTGGAAGATGGTGATTACATCACGTTGGAAGAAGTGGCAAGGAAAGCACCGGGAGAAAGGGCCGAGTTGGCAACGGAGCTTGGGATTCATGCCGGGAAGCTGAGCCTCGCAGTCCAGAGTTTGGGTGGTGACGAAGAAGTTGAGGAGGAAGCATACCAGGAAGAAGAAGTAGAAGCACCGGGAGCTGCCGAACTGAAGAAAGTGACTCGGCAAGTGAAGAGAACCGGCGAAGAAAAGAAGCTCGCACCAAGAGGGAGCATGATGCCATGGCGCATGAGGAGCGCGTTGTCACCTTGCTTCGCCAACAGAACAGTATGATCGCAGAGGGCTTCGCGTTTATGAAGGCGCAGTTCGTCGCAGTGCACCAAAGGCTAGACCAAATCGAAGCCAGTTCAAGCCGCAGAGGAGAAGATGAGGAAGAATCCAAGGAGCCGGAGAGCGAGTCCTTCTAGAGTGGAGTTGTGGTCGTCTTGTTTGCTCTTCTTTAGTTGTTGTTATCTCCTTAGTTGTCGTTACCGTTTAGTTGTTGCCTGCTTTGTATGCTTGTTCTTGCCGTTGTTTGTTGGATAGTTAGTTTTGTAGTTGGTGTTTTGAGTTAGTTGTTTAGTTCTTAGTTGTTGACTAGAAGTTGGTGTTTGTGTTGTGGCTAGAGTTCTGGATGCTCAATCTATTCGTTTACTAAACTCTTACCAACCCTTGATTTGATATGCCTTCTTTCTTGCTTTGGATTACCTCTTTGCCCTGAAATCTTGTGGAATCTTTTGGAGTCTTTGACCAAAAGAGTTTGTTCTCGCACCTCTTGTCACAATTTTGTTCTTTCACCGTTTGCTTTTGAATTGTCGTACCCAAGCTTCGGGGACGAAGCTTCTTTGAAGGGGGAGAGGATGTGACACCCCGAAATCCAAATTCAATTAAGGGATTAATTAAGTAATTAATCCTATTTCAATTTGT